CACTCAGCTGGGTGGTTCAATCTGGTAGGCGTTGTCCATGGTACCTTTAGAGTACATGGGTGGTAGGCGGAGGCTCTAGTAGGCGGAGGCTCTCGTAGGCGTAGCCCATGGTACCTTTGGAGTACATGGGTAGTAGGCGGAGGCTAGCTCAATGTGAGCTAGGCAGGGCACCTTGGCACCTAGGTAGCTGGACGTTCCACTGAGGGGACCAGAGCCCAGAAGGGGTATCGTGCTCAAGTCATGAAGAGGTTCGCAACCCCAAGGACTCTTAGGATTCTGACCTAATCTGAGGGGAAGACTCATGGTATGATAAGAACTCTTCAGCTTCTACATGACTTCATCGATAAAAGGGGCACAGGTTATTTCACTTACAGGACACACACATACAAATTTTCTCGTTACTCTGTTGTTTTCTCTTTGGACCACCACTGACTTGAGCGTCAGAGTGTTCGCGCCGGGACCACCCCCCGGCGTGCTTTGCAGGTACCGGCGATCAACAAGACATAACTCGGTTCGGAGAGGAGCGGTTCAGCGGTTCAAATATTTGTGGTATAACAAATGCATAGACAGTTTACATTACATGCACATTTACTTGTCATTTGTGCTAGATATGTTGAGAACATCTTGATGTTGTATTAGTTTTGTAATGCATAGATAGTGTATATTTTCTGCACTTATAGTTTTCAAATGTTGCAGAACAACCTCATCTATTTTGTTGCTATAGTAGTTAGTGAAGTATGCATAGATAGTTTATGTTTTATGCTTAATTAGCTGACATTTGGTGCTTGACATGTTCGTATGGACCTGTTGTTTATTGTTTATGTATTGGTGTTTGTATAATGTATATATAAAGTATATTTTATGCATATTTAGTTGTCTATTGGTGTTTGTCATGTTCAGAATAATCTCTGGTTATTGTTGCTATACTAGTGTTTTAATAGTGCATACATAGTGTATTTCGCATGCATAATTAGTTTTTTTTATTTTTTATTTTTTTTTCCAAATGTACCTACCGTTTTTCATATGACATGTTATGACTTATGAGTTACTAATTAATTATTTATATGTAAGTAAATGATTTCTCGTGAATTGTGGATTTCTAAATCAACGTCAAGTTTTGGCTTCTTTTTGTAGTACTAGATATCAATTTTAGATTTCTAGTCAAGGTAGACGTGGCCACGGGCCACCCGGCCCGTTGGCCCGGCACGGACACAGCCCGGTCAAACCCGTTGACCACTAATCTGGGCCCGGCTCGGATTTCAACTGGGCCGGTCCAGGGCCGGGTCCGATCCAGCACGGGAAAAACGAATTGTTTTTTATTTTTTTCTTTTTTTTTTTATAAAAACAATTGGCAGCCCAGACCCGACACGACATAGAGCCGTTTCAGGGTCCATGAAACCCAACTCGTCAGCTCGCAAGGCCGGGCCGGGCCTGGGGCATGTCTAGGTCAAGGGCGTCATCTGAAAATCCTAATAAGAAACTGTTTAATCTTCGTCACGTTTCTTTGAGAAATGTGGTGGAATGAATATTTGACATATTTAAATCTCGTTTCATAATTTTCAAAGCAGCCCCTCCTTTCCCATATCATACACAAGTAGAGCTAGTCTTAGCTTGTGCAGTATTATATATTTGTTTGCGCAAAGAGTGCCGATTTGACGAAGTTCCAGTTGACACTGAAGATGGAGTTTCAATAAAAGATGAAGCGCAAGATTTTGGACCATATTTTGAGAGTCAAGAACATGAAAGAAAAGCCGCAAATGCATGGAGATTGAGTTTGACTGGAATGATGTTGGAAATATTTGATGTATTGTTCATTTAATTTTTTGTTCTTTCTAATTTTTCTACTTTCCTTAAAATGTCAGTAAGCTAGCTTTTGTACTCTTTCGGTTCGATTATCGAATATTTTCATGCTTTTTTCTTATCGAGTTCGTCTGTTATAATATTTTTATATTCTCTTGTCTTCATTCTTGCTCGATGGATAGTACTTAATATCATTGTGTGTTTCAAATTGATAGTATAATTTTTTAATTACTAATTTTGACTTTATTGATACTAGTTATTATGCACATAAGTTCTTATGAGTGTTCTATACAAATTTAATTAATATATTAATAATTATATGAAAGTCTCAAGTTTACATTGGAAGTCTTAAAAAGTCTCCAAAACCATTGTTTACGGTTATAACCGCTAGTCTTCCCCACTTGGGGGGTCGAACCTCACCGGCCCTGCACCTGGGACTCATGACCTTCCATAGTGCTCTTGTCCTAGGATGAAAACCCACATTGGGACATTCTCTGGTTTTTGCCCTCTTCCAGACTCGAACCCTGCACCCTGAACTCCACCTTATGCTCAGGGTGGAGGGTTCGAGTATGGGAGAGCGCAAAAAACACAGAATGCCCCAAGATAGGTTTTCACCTAGGACAAAAGTACTGTGGAAGGTCAGGAGTCCCCACTTGAAGGTTGACGGTTATAACCGTCAACAAAAAAAGAGCGAGTGTCCGACCCCCCAAGTGGGGAAGACAGGCAGTTGTAACCGTCAACAACAATCTCACAAAATCCACAAAAGCCATTAAAAGTTGCATAAAGTCCACAAAAGTTATCCACTTTAAAAAGTCTTTAAAAACTCCTAATTGAATACACCCCGTTAGATAAGCAATGAAATAAGACACAATATCAGTATTAATTTCATCCTAATAGTGAAGAAGTCATCCTATGCCTTTGGAGATTGAGTGGCATGGAAGCTCGAGCAGGCACCTGATTTTGAAGGTCTATGGAGCTTCACTAATGGGACCAAAGACTGCACCACATCAGCCATCAGCGGCCTGTACTCCGCCTCAGCTTGAACACACATAGCGGCAATGGCCGCAACTTGAACCACCTCCTTCATTGAATACTGACCCTCTAATGCCGGGTCCATTATTTCACCAACCTTATTTCTATCCGTTAACTGGGGTAAGGCCTGTACTTGAAAATCCATCACACTTTAAGAGTTAACCAAATAAATATAACTTGTTTCGTCAACTGAACATAAAATGTCCGGATAAATGCTGAAAATAGATCAAGAAAGTACCCAGGATACAAGAAAAGCTTCACCCGCCGGCCTCTTCATATCGACTGGGACTCTACCAGTCAGCAACTCCAGCAGAACAACTCCGTAGCTGTACACATCTGATTTCGTGGTAAGATGCCCAGTTAAAGCATACCTACAGGAGTGCAGAATTGCAAGAAAGTTAACCCAAAATCAAAGTCAATTGAAAAATGTTGTGATTTGCAGAACATAAAGAAGTTAAGATATGTTTTGATCTTACTCAGGCGCAACATATCCTTGGGTGCCCAGAACTCGAGTTGAGACGTGTCCTCCGGCTTTATCAGAACCACGTTTCGCCAGTCCGAAATCGGAAACTTTAGCGTGAAAATTCTTGTCCAGAAGGATATTGCTACTTTTGAAATCTCTATGAATTATGGGGGGGCTAATGTGCTCGTGAAGGTACTCCAAACCCTTTGCTGCTTCTAAAGCTATCCTCAATCGAGTTTCCCAGTTTAAGTTGGAAGAAACAGTTCTATAACCTGAATGTCAAAACCGGAACATAAACACCGGCTACCACAAGACGAGTTCACAAACAAAATATATCAAATCTTCATTTAACATATTGCCTTCATCATAAGAAGCAACTCTGTGTACGCAATTCAATCAATTCATGGTACATTTGCTCACATAACTGACATTAGACAAGTGTTGCTTTTCAATCGTTAGAACTTAATTGACTCAAGAATATCATTAGTTCTCATAGCAGATAAATAACAATGTGCTGCATGGTGACAAAAACCTGGCCATTTTTGCAAACTTAATTTCCTATTGGGATATGATTTCGGAAAAGTGATATCAAAGACAGAATCTCGTCAAAACCTGGAAAAGATGAAAATCATCTTATTGTTTATGAAATATTCCCTGAGACAAACAAGACAGACAGAAACTTCGATTGAAAAGAAAAGGCGACAGAAACTGCACTTGAGAACACAAACAAGTTAATTGAATCAGTGCAAATGCAAATCATAAATTTGGTGAAGCAAACAAACTATAGGCAAGAAACTGATAAAGTTAATTTACCCCTGGCTGGATACAAATGTTCCTGCAGGCCTCCATTGGCCATAAACTCATAGACCAGCAATTTGCGCTTGTTTTCCGAACAATATCCAACCAATGGTAGCAAATATGGTGAACGTAGCCGGCCCAACAATTCTACCTATTCATTTAATTCATAATGCAAGTGATGCACATAAAAATAAAAAATAAAAAGATGTTGAGTCACATGTTAAGAAGGAAGAAATATAACATGAAGATTTGAACCTCTGCAGTGAATTCGTCTTCTCCCTGTTGTCCAGCTTCGTCCATCAACTTAACAGCAACTTTTCTTCCATTTTGCAGCACTCCTCTGCATACCAATCCAAATGCGCCACGGCCAATCACATTAGACTTCCCAAATCCACCAGTGGCAGAATGCAGATGCTTGAAAGTAAAGACTTGGAGTCGGTTGTCGGTCGTGACTTTGATATTGGAAGCATTGCCGGTTTTAACATCATGGGGAGTCCCTCGTAAATCTAATAAGACACACATAGCAAAATTGAAGCTGATGGCATTAGCAAACCCACTTCAACATGGGCACAAAATTAACCTTTCTCCCTTTGGAATAATCAAGTTAAGATAGTGACAATTCACAAAGGAGGGGATACATTTTTTTCCCTTTTGTTCATTTAAAAAAACCCACATTTTCAAGTCGTCAGATAGCGACACACAATAATGGCAGAACAAGGACCACAAATTAGCTCTATAGTAAACATCTACAAGACTAGAATACTACTCTAACAAGCTCTCTCAACTGGTAATTTGCTTGCGAAATGAGTAATGAGTTCAAAGTTACCAACTTTTTTCCTTTGTCTTGAGCCGCTTGGAGAGTTTGAATCTCAAGTAGCAGTAGTAACTGAAGGTCACTGCAACTGAAACAATGGCGAGTGATGCGAAAATCAAGATTACAGCAAGTACAATGCGCTCCTTCTTCTTGTACTCGTCGTTTTCTGCTCCCATTGACACTAAATGACTGAAAAATATGACGAAGTTTAGCGAACAAAATGGAGAAGCTGCTTACAGAAGCTGTTGAGAGAGTGAGGAGTGAAGAAGTATTTTAACCTTTGAAGGACGAGAGGGGCTGGGTCTCACAATAGGTGGATTTTGTCCTCTCAATTATTTCCTTTTCATGTCTGTGTTTTGTCATTTTAGTGGCATTGCCGGTTTTATACATGTACATCGCGAGGTGAATTTTGCTGCTGACCATATGGCGAGTGCAACGGCTTCCTACCCGATTGGGGTGCATTGAGTCTCTTCTCCTCCTCCTGGATTAGGATCGTGGATTGATCATGATAATATAGGGGTTTTATATCCCCGACAAGTTCTACCTTAAGCATTCTGGCTCCTTTTTTGTACCCAAAAAAAAAAAATTTAGTGGCGCGTGCACCAAATTCTTGCCAATTACTTTATATTTTGTTGTGATTTTAAATCATGTTTTTTTTTTTAATATATTTTTATGGACTATTTAGTTTTTTGTACTACTACTTTTAATTAATAAAAAAATGAAGTACATTGCATAATGAATTGTGTCAAATATATTGAAATTTAAAAAATTAATTTCAAAATATTAATATTTAAAAGTCATGGTGAAAATGATTGCATTTATTTTGGGTGAAGGATTTATTCACTGCAGGAGGAGGTAACTGGGATGAATCCTTAGTGAAAATGTTGTTTGTTGAAGCTGATGCTTTGAAAATCCTTCAAATAAAATCACTCAATCCCAGAGCTGATGATCAGTGGCAGAGCCCCTTCTTAAACAAAGGACTGTTTTCTGTCAAAAAGGCTTATGAAGTGCTTATGAGAGATAAACTAGGCAGATTATCATTTGCAGAAACAAGTGTCTTAGCTGGAGGGAACACTAAAGCTAGACTGAGATGCTGGAAACTCCATGTTATGGGGAAGATCAAGCTGTTTATATGGAGGTGCTTCTCCAATATCTTGCCAGTTAGCTGCAATTTATCTGCTAGAGGTCTGAAAGTGGATAAGATCTGCCTAGTGTGTGGAGAGTGTGAGGAAACTCTTGAGCATGTTCTGTTTCAGTGCAAGAGAGCTCAAACAACCTGGAAAATAGCCCCTGTCCAATGGAATAGAGTCCTGGAGGATCACTTGACATTTAAAGAATGGTGGTGGTGGATCAGTTCTCTTAAGAAGCAGGTTATCCATGAAGAAAGGATCCAACTCTCCACTTACATCTTGTGGTGGCTATGGCGGGCTAGGAATCTCTGGGTATTTGAGAATAAACGGGTTGCTGAGGATTGGATTGTGAGATCTGCTATTCAAGATTGGCTCGACTTCTCTTCTAGCTCATCCAGGTGATGTCTTATGCAGCAAAGGAGATTCTAGGTCTCGTGTAAGTGGAGTCTTCCCTTTTCTGCTTTGATGTTTCTCTTGTTTTGTTGTTTGATCTTTATTATGGGTGAAAGGTTGAGAGTGTTGGAGTGTGATCTTGCTTGTCTCTGTTCTGATTAGGTAGTACTTGTTGTACTAATCCTCCCATGTCCTGCGGATTCGGGTTTTCCCGTGTACATTCCATTTATTTTGGTTCTATATGAGTGATTATGTCGTTTGAAAAAAAAAAAAAATGATTGCATGAAAATTTTAGTTAAGATGCCTTCATTATTTAAGTTAGTCTTGTTTTTCTTAAAAAAAATGTTTAGGGAAAATTAAAAAATATGTACAGTAAGAATAAATTGAAATCTTTTACAAGAATAATTGTATGTGGTAGTTGTTAAATGTTGATTATTTTTTGTTCTCGTATCGGATGTGTACCAAATATGTGTAGGATGTTTTTAGTATAAATAGATCATAATTTGTGTGTTATTTAACCCTGGTTGTATTTTATTGGTGAGTTTAGGAAATTTGGCGTTGCGGTTGGCGGTGCCCGGAGACGTTGGTAATATTGGCCGAACTTTGTTATCAAATTTGTGTGTTTTTTTCTTTCTCGTTTTTTTATTTATTTGTGTTGGCTTTTTTTTTTTGTAGTATTGCTTGCTATATTTGTTGTAGGTGTATTTTGTTCGTTGCGCTTGTTGTTCTACCCCCAACAAACCGACGGTTCGTGTTCGTCCTAAGCTCATTCTGCGAGACGAGCACTGCATTCAAGTTCGAGATGTCCAAGGAGGTCAAGGGTGGATTATCCTCTGCACTCATTCTACCAAGGACGGTGATATCAAATATCAGACTCACGATGGAGATCTTCGATGGGACCGATCATTTCAACATGTGGCAAGGCGAGGTGCTGGTTTGCCTATTTCATCAAGGCGTCAACATTGCCATTGAAGAAGAGAAGCCAACCAACGATGATGAGAAGGACTGGAAGAATATCAACTGCTTAGCCTGTGGAATAATTCATTCATATTTGTTGAGGGAGCAAAAGTACACGTTCAAGAATGAGAACTCTGATTACTCTCTGTGGAAGGCTTTGTATGATAAATTTTTTAAGCGAAGCGGTCAGAATAATCTCACATGAAGAAGTGATTGTTCTGATTTGATTACCAGCATGTCACATCGATGAATGACCACGTCACTGCATTCAATCAGTTAGTTGCAGGATTGTTAAACTTGGACGTCACATTCAGCGATGAAGATTTGGGCCCACGAAGAAAACCATATTAGACCTCAGACGATTAAGAGGTCGAATCGACCTCACCTCACTCGAGCAATAGGGGAGTTAAAAGGGAACAAGTTCTACCAAACTGAGAGTTCGACCTGGTAAAGAAGGTTCGACCTCGTGAAGGGACAGAGAATCTATCTGGAAAATCACGCAATAAGATGATTGGACCACGTGTCGTGGGGTAGATTGAGCCATCTGTATTCCTGACACCTGATAACCTGAGGCACCGCAGATGTTGTAGATCATACGGAGGGACAACAGAGTCAGCTATGTTAACTTTCCACGCAAGCTTGGGGAACGAGACATCACTTCTCTATATAAAGGGAGGTAGTGGGTCAGTTTTAGAATTACATTCTCTACACACTCTCATATACTTAATATATTAGTCATTATCTATGATCACTACTGACTTAAGCATCGGAAACTCTTCACCGGAAAATCCCACTTCCAGTGTCGAGTTCTTGTAGGTGTCGAATGTTGAGTTATATTAGGAATGTTGACAATGTGTACATTCAAATCTATTGAATAGTAAATCCCAACGCATTGGAATCTATAGTTAGGATTAGGACTTACGGTTTAAATTTTTGCCGACTCCGAGACGTTTCTGATTTCTGTTGATGGAGATCGTCTAAACACCAAAGTCCAATGGGCAGCTGAACTTGGCCTTTCTCGATTCTAATCGAGTCTTTGGGATCATCGGATCATCTTGGACCTTCAGTAAGTGAATCGGAAATCTCGAACCGCTTAGAATCTATCTCGGGATCGAACTGGGCTTACTGGGTCGGGCTGAACTGGGTCGGACAGGTCTAGACTGGGCTGGTTCTGGTCGGATCTGGTCGCTGGGCACGGGGACTGGCTCGGTGGCCGTGGACTTCTCGCGCACAGAGCCGGGGATACACGCTGCTAGACGTTGGGCTCGGTCGCTGGTGGCACGCACGCGGACAGGCGCATGGGCGCGCGAGATGGTTAGGCAGAGACGACGAATGCATACAGGACGTGCGTGACTCCTACTTCTGTGCGGACTGAGACGTTGGCGTGCGCGACACGTTACCTAGGTAGGCAAGGACTATGTGTGCGCGCGTCAT